GATGGATTGCTAAAATACACACACACACACACTTACATACACACCGCACACACACACACACACACACACATACACACTCTATGCTTATTTATTCAGTCACTGGTACACGACTTCTCTCCGCATCATAACTTGGATGCTGCATTTTGACAACCACAAGACTTCATTGCGTTTTCTCCTCACCTCCTCACCTCCCCACCATCCCTCCCTCGCACCCTAAAAAGAAAAATAAATCCCACCCCGATGCCCCCCAAATGGATGTAGCTCAGCAGAAGGGTGATCTGTCCAAGCGAGAGGAGCCCGTGAGCAAGAGACGCATCGGCTGAACACTGGGACACCACCCTTTATAATCCACCTCCTCCTCCTCTTCCATCCACTATAACGAGACTTTTACCCAATTTTTGTTGAGTCTTTGGTGAATGACTGACACAGGATACTGGCGCCCGTCAGCCTGCCCTTTATATGGAGATTACATTATAGCGCGGCTTGTTGCATTCTCTTTTTGTGCGTCAGGGGAGAGAAAAAAAGAGGAATAACCCCGGAGAGATGTCGTGTCTACGCAGCAGCTGTCCCACGTCTCCCAAAGGGACCAGCGCGCACCCACGTCTCGCGTTCAGGTAATGGCCAAACACGCGCGCACGGCTGTACAGATAGAGAGGTGCATACTCCTGCATGTGTTGGCTGTTTCTACAACAGATGGATGCAATGGAGACGGCTCTAAATGTGATTAAAGTAAGTGTGTCCCCAATTAAAGATTTATGGTAACCAAGCAGGGACAGAGGCCAAATCGTTGCATTGGAGAGAGGTCAAAAATAAATAAATAAATGAATAAATAAAGAAATTGATGTTGTGTCAAATGGAAGTGGCCCCAGGGTGAAACCACGGGGCTGGATAATCCCAACCAAGGGCATCAACAGACATGCACACGGCAGAAGCAGCGAGAGGAGCTAGGAATGCAAATACATATATGTGAGAAAAGTATTTTTGCATGCAGTGGGAATATTTGCTGAGGAAAGAGAGCTTTACTTGGAAAATAAGAAAGTGGTGTGCATGTTCAAACTATGAGCTGGTCCGGGGTTTGACTGCTTAAAAGGGGCAAATTCTAATAATCCAATATATAAACTTGCCATATTAAGTCCAGAACAATCATTTACCAGTATTGTTGTGTGTAAAACCAACCAATCAAGTTATGAATGATCAATCCAGAGATGAAATTGCTTTAACTCTACGGCAGAATGTGTTCCGTATGCTTTATTGTATACACTCCACTGTGAGAAAGCAGTCGGGGATCATGCTGAGAGATTACAGAGACCGTGTCCAGCTCCTAAAGACACGATAACAACACACAGAGCCTATGATAATAACACCTAATGTTGCACCAAGTCAATGACTGCGCAGCTCAGTCCATTCCAGCCGTTCACACACAGGTCCATCTGAACCATAGGAACCGTTACTGCCCGCTAATCCAGGGCTAATCCACACAGATTGGGAACGGTTACACGCCCAAAAATATATGCATGGATTATTTATATTGAGGTGAAGTGGTGTGAGAATGGACGTTCAGCCATTTTGGATTCGGTTTTTTCTCCATATTTACTTCATAAACGCAAATCCATGAGTCAAACCAGAAGCTTTTCCAGCGGGTGAGACAGAAAAATGTCAATAATGTCTGGTATTATCAGTATTGTTTTTTTTTTTTATTATTTTAGACTCAAATGAATATCAGTACAACAAAAGACAATGCATTACTCTGTGTTTGTACAGATGTGGTCACTCAAGTAATCAATCTTTAAGCAAAATCTACCTTAAAAGTATAAGTTTTTTATACTTATTAGAGCTCGATTATGTTATTATTCTTGCGGATCGATGAGGAGGGTGTAGAGACATGGACCTATTGAGAAGCAAATGATTACGTCACATGGAGCTGGTGCATTGTGGTCCGGACCGCGGACGCCTTCACAAGAACTCTTTTCTACTTTACTCCAAAGCTAGACTCAATCTGGTTTCACAATCCAGGTTGAGACCAAGTTTGGACCCAATTTGTGCTCGGGGCTAAACAACAATCGATAACATACGTGGACTGATTCTGGTCTGCACTGCAAAAAATGATGCAAAATACGTCAAAACGCGCTCAAATTGGGCAGAACGTGTCTTAATATGAACAAGATTTACCGTTGGGACAAAGTAAAATGAGCTTTTTAAAAAGAATCAAGAAATGTCTCAATTGGAACGAGAAAATAAAGCTAAAGATCTTAAATGGCTTCGTCCCGTTGAGAATCTTGTTTTACGACAGAATGTGCTCAGATTACTATAAAAAAAAAAGCTCGACCCCAGCGTTTTATATGGTTACCTCATAATTGATCGGTTTTGCAGTGTGTGACGTCTGACTGGTCTAAACTGGGAATTAACGCTTTGACAAACATTTTCCTACCTGTTCTACTGAGAATATAACTGGGAAATCCTAACCTAACTCAAACCAGCCAGCAAAAAATGAGCCAAGACTAAACCACTACGATCTCTCTCCACAATACTAAAAAAAAAACAAAAAAAAAAAAAAAATACCAAAAAACAAAAAAAAAAAAAAAAACAAAAAACAAAAAAAACAAAAATAAACAAAAAACATAAAAAAAAAACACAAACAAAAAAACACAAAAAAAAACACAAACAAAACAAAAAAAAAAAAAAAAAATAACCAAACAAAACAAAAAAAAAACCAAAAACCCCAAAAGAAAAAAAAACAAACAACAAAAAAAAAAAACAAGAAACAAAAACCAACAAAAAAAAAAAAAACAAAA